GACGCCCCCCCCCCCCCCCCCTCCTCCCCCCAGGAGCTGTGAGGCTGAGGCGAGGATGGCATGTCCCTGGCAGCCCCCTAGTCTTTATACTCTAGACTTAGAAATTCATTGGAGGGCTAAAGGGCTCCTTGTGTTTGAGATGTCAAAGATGATCTTTCTCTTTGGGAGAGAGTTACACTTCTGAGCAGAAAGACAGTGCTTAGCTTTTCTCTCAGCTCCATTCTCCATCAGAGAGAGACATCTGAAATAAAGCTGCCATAAATTCAAAGTACCACCAAAAGGATGTGGTGAATTACCAAAGCTAGAGGTACGTTTCCACTTGAAAAAAATATTTTAAATGGTTTAAAATTCAAGAGGGCAGGGGTAGGGGAAGTAACAGGCATCTGCTATTTTTTTTTCTGTTAATGCAAGTGTTGCATGTAAATGTGTTTTATTCACATAAAGACGGATTTGAATGAAGCGGAGGAAATGATTTCTAGAGCAGAAAACCTGTACAAGCAACCATATTTCTGGAACCTTCTGCATTCACTCCCTCGCCTTGAATCGAACAGCTTTTATACAGAAGATGGGTTAGCTGCCATAGCACAGTTTCTAAAAGTTATTCAAAAGTAAGTACTCTTACATGCTTGAAAGTGCACTGTTTTAATATTTTAGCTGCAATTCTTGTTCTTCTCACTGCCTATTTAATAAAATAAGCATCTTTATCAGTGTAAAGAGGCTGAAATTTTCTTGTGTTTACCAGATTCTGCTTCTATAGAGTTGTAGTAGGAGTTTTCACCCATTCCGATTCCTTCATAACTGTATTTTTCACCTCTGTCCAGCTCCACAGAGATTCCCTAGGAGTCTCCAAGAAGTAGCTTCATCTTAGCAATGGTTGAAATTAGCCCATCACATTAGTCCAGCTTTGAACTTTGTAATGTGCTTTGGGACTCCTTGAAAGACAGAATATTTACATATGAATATAAGCAAATCATAGTTTGGATTCTAATCAACTTAATATGTATGTAGCGCTTGGTCAATATTGGGAAAATTACTCCATTTTGTTTCTCAAGCCTCTTGCTATTGAAATAGCTTTGGCTGTTCTCTTGCAAGAAATGAAGCAGTAAGAAAAAACCCGCAGAGACTGTATTCTGAATATGGAAGTTTTCTGCACCAGGTAAAGGACAGCTGGATTCAGAAGAAGACATGGTATCGAAAGCACAGACTAAGACAAGTATCAACAGAAATTTTCAGTAAAATACGGGAATTGTTAGGAAAAAGTAAAAAATGTATTTGCCAGAGTAGGTAGTTGGTTGTAACAGGTTGATAGGTAGTTTTCATTGTAGTCAATTAACATATTTGTAAGGCTAGAGAAGGCCACTGAACCTGGCTGCCTGTGCAACACTGGCCATGAACTTCACCAGCCTTACCCCATGGGGAGGCAGGGGTAATGACTTTGGGAAATGTCTGTGCTGATTCTGCCACCCTTTAGCATCCCACTGTCTTTTGCCTAATAAAAAAGATATGAAGGATATGATGGCATAACGTTTTTGAAGCTGGGAAATAAGTCTCTTCTTATTACAATATGTGGATTGCAACTGTCTTGGGGCTTGATTTTTTTTCTTTTCCCCTTTATGCCTGAGTCATTTGTAACCTTATTCCAGCTTGTTCTCTGAACTATTAACGTGCAAACCTGTATTAGCTGTGCTTGTAGTGCTCGTATCCCAAAAGCAGAAGTCTTTTCTGAAAGGTTTGCAAACTCCCAGAGTCTGAGTGTTCCTGAGGTAAGACAGGAACTTGATTGTAAGCTTATGGTTATTTTCTTCAGCAGCAGTAAACAAAGATAGCAGTAACCACTGGCTGCTGTGCTGCATCAAGTTATTAATCTGTTAACATAATCTCAGCAGCGATTTCTTTACCCTGAACCGATAGTACAGACAGAATGAGAAAGGGACAAAAGTGGAGGGTGTTCATAGTTACAGAGTTTGTCTTCCCATGTAACTGTTATGCATGTTGAGATCCTGCTTTCCAGAAAGTGGCTGGGCATCTGCCTGTTGATGGAAAGTAGTGAATAAATTCCTTGTTTTGCTTTGCTTGCATGCACAACTTTTGCTTCACCTGTGTCGTGGTTTAACCCCAGCTGGAAACTAAGCACCACGCAGCCGCTTGCTCACTCTCCCCTGGTGGGATGGGGGAGAGAATTGGAAGAGTAAAAGTGAGAAAACTCGTGGGTTGAGATAAAGACAGTTTAATAGGTAAAGCAAAAGCCGCGCACGCAAGCAAAGCAAAACAAGGAATTAATTTGCTACTTCCCATGGGCAGGCAGGTGTTCAGCCATCCCCAGGAAAGCAGGGCTCCATCACACATAACAGTGATTTGGGAAGACAAACACCATCACTCCAAACGTCCCCCCTTCCTCCTTCTTCCCCCAGCTTTATATACTGAGCATGATGTCACATGGTATGGAATATCCCTTTGGTCAGTTGGGGTCAGCTGTCCCGGCTGTGCCCCCTCCCAACTTCTTGTGCACCCCCAGCCTCCTCGCTGGTGGGGTGGGGTGAGAAGCAGAAAAGGCCTTGACGCTGTGTAAGCACTGCTCAGCAGTAACCAAAACATCCCTGTGTTATCAACACTGTTTCCAGCACAAATCCAAAACACAGCCCCATACTAGCTACTGTGAAGGAAGTTACTCTATCCCAGCCAAAACCAGCACAACCTATTAAACTGTTTTCGATCCATGAGTCTTCTTGCCTGCCTTTTATTTTCTTCCTGTCCTGTGGGAGAAGGGAGTGAATGAGCAGCTGTGTAGGTGCTTGGCTGCCAGCTGGGGTCAAACCACAAGTGATTAATAAGAGGAGACTCAGATGTTTACATTTGGGTTTTGGTTTTTTTTAAGACTTTGATGCCCTTCAATGACCAAATTTGCCATAATTAATGCAATTTGGAGAGCAAATAACAAAAACCAATGCTTACTTCTCAACTGGCTTTGTATTACTAACATACATTTCTAGAGGTCCTAGCTCAGGCAGAATTTAGTCAGCAGAAAGGATCCTAAATTCACAACTTCCTGGACCGTACCATCTTTGCTGTGTCTCTCAGAGAAACTTTTCACACCTACTTGGTGAAGTTAAATAGTGTTGGTTTTTTGGTTTTTTTTGTTTTTTTTTTCCTCCTTTTGCATATGTTGGAAACTGCTGATCCACTCTAACAAAACTGGATTCTTATTTTCATAATAACAAAGGAATACTCGATAGGAAATAACTGATAAATTTGATGTAAACTTTAAATAGTAAATTACAGCTTACATTAACAAAGAAGTTTGTTTCACAGCTTACTGAGACTGGGACTTGTAAGAAATTCAATAGATATATTTTTATCAATGCATTTTCTGATGTGCTTTGTTTCATTTGTTGTGAGAATAAGTGTTTTGTTGCTTTAAAGGTTCTTTTTTTCTCTGCAATTTGGGTGGAAGTAAAATACAAGTATTCTATGTCCATCCTGCCTTGTTGTGGGGATAACTGGAAGAACTCTTGTGGTGGTTTTGCTCTCATTTTTGCTCTCACTTTTCACTCTTTTTCTCTCATTCTTTTTTTTTTATGAGGATATTGGTCCTCTTAGGAGACATTTCCTTAATGAAAACTGAGTGAAACTCTAACTGTAAAATCTCAACTTGTGGTTTTTTTCATGAAAAGTCTAACTTGACAAAACAATAAAGAAAGTATTTTAATATTCAATTGCTTGAGCTTCATCTTTTTCCACCATGCCCTTTCAGTTTTTCTGGGTGTATAGAGAGCTTGATTTTTGTTTTTTTTTTTTCACTTTCAGTACCTTAGCATCATTGAAGGATTTAGCTATGATGCCACTGGGCAAAAGTTTCTATGAAGTGGTGAAAACAGCACTGAATTTAACTGCTACATCAGTACAGGATAGGAGCTTAGAAGGTAAGGAATTTGCTTCAGACTTTTTTTGAAGTAGCTTGTAAGCATGCTGGGAATATGCGATAGCAGTAACTGTCTGAGCTTCTGCTAAATTCCTAATGTAAAAGATCTAAGAATTGAACTATATTGCTGTAGTGCTAACCCATTTCTTTATTGATCTTTTTTTTGAATACTAATAACTAAATTTCATCAGACTGGCAACTATTTGATAAACAAAACACATTGATCTAATATATCATGTTTAGAATGATCTTTCAGTGGTGAATTTCGGAGAGAGACTAAATCACTGCAAAGGATAATTTCTTCCATTTGATAGACGGATAGCCTCTTGTTTTGGACATGCATATTAAGCATTATGGCTGTTTTACTATAAGCTTCATTCTTCTGTTATCATAAATTCTGGTCTCAGCTGAAGGGCTACATTTCCTCATCTGCTGCTTGATTATAGGAGATGACTTTGACTGGAGAAGGTAGGCTGGCCCCAGGAGAACTCCTCAAGAAAAGGTTAGGAACAAGTTTCATTGGCAAACTGTCTGGTGGCACACACTTAGATTCTAGGTGCAGCTGTCTGCTCTGCATAGAACGTCAGGCTAAGAATGATATGCAGTCTAAATCCCACTTCAGCAGTCAAAACCAAGACTGAAGCGGTACAAAGGTGCTATGCTGGAGCCCTTGCACAGAGGGTGAGCTTGAATTCCCTGGATCTTCTGGTATTCTCATGGTGCTCTCCCTCTCAGCAATGATTCATATCCAGCCCATACACACACATTTATATGACTACATGCAGAAATAGACACACAGTTCAGATTGGCACCCTGGGGGTCTGCTGGCAATCACTCTGCAGGGGCATCTGACCATTATCATATCAGCTGTTGGAATACCATCAGATTAACTGACCTTACCATACTACTAATGCAATCATCGATTTTATCCTGGTGAAATTGTTGTTCAGGTGCACACATTATTTTATTCTTTTTTTGGTGAAAAGCTGGAAACGTGGTGCTTGGATCTCATCAAGTATGTATCATCAAGAAACAAAAGGAACAAAAAGCAGGAATTGTGTAAACAAAAAGTTTTTTTTCTTTCAGGTTTTCAGTATAATCTTTCCCTTGGGGATGTTTTGTGGAATCCACATGCTGTGAGAGCAGAACTTGAATCCAGGTTTGGTTTTGATGATCTTCATGTTGAGAAGCTGCTAAGTTACACAGCACAATTAACAAAGGTAAACCACTTGAAAATTTCAATGTCTCTCCCTTTCATCTTTGTTTTTATTTGTACCCTGAAGGGATTTTTCATGCCTTACAAAAGCTATAGTCATACCTTAGATTTGTGAAGCAGCTAGAAGACTGCTAAATATCCTGGCTTCATTTCCATCAAAATAAATGTATTTAACTTCAGCTGGAATTTCTGCACATGAAGATGCTGATAGGTCTAGTTGTGTACATTAATGAATTTATGCTTCTCTGAAGTCACCACTGGGTATCGTGAAGTCCTGAGTTTATTATCCAATCCTGTAGAAAATTCTGGGGTTTGCTCCACTAAGCTTTTAAACTAGAATCCTAGAATTGAAGCTGCCTGGATTAATTTGGTAGGTAGCATTTTTCATCTGCTTTGACGGACAAAGAATGCCTATCTCTTCTGTGTGTAAATTAAGGCACATCATCAGTCCTTTCTTCTCAGTTGTGCAGTCTTGATATGGACATACTTGACTGATGCGTTGTCTCAGTGGGACTATTCAAATATACCAGCGATGTGTCAAATTTTGAAGAAAATCTCTTTTCTCAGAGAGGTCTTTCTAAACTTTCTTCTAGACCAAAGTTATCTGTTGTGATGGTCTGGTTTGAACTGCAGAAAACTTGAAACATCTTTTGAATTTCTACTAAGGTCCACAGGTTTTGAATAGAACATGCTGGTATTTATCTAAAAGCTGTTTGCTCTTTACCAGGTACAGTCTAGAGTTGTACTTTTGAAAAGTTCATTATAAAAATAGCTGATTTACACAAAGGGGTAAATTATCAAAAAACTTGACTTTTGACTGGTCTTTTAATGAAATATCAGTGATGGCCAGTTTGATCAACTGAACTGAATTTGACTGCAGCCTGTTAGCTATGGTTGGCTGTGTAATTCCAGGCAACTCACTTGCTAGCTATTTATAGATTAAACTAATATCTTGATATTGTGTGCTTGTGTTAGGGCATTGAAGACCCTCAAAAAGTATGATGAGAAATATGGAAGCCTGGACAGTGTCTATTCTGAGCACTTCAATTCTGTGTGTAATGCCCCAGCTCGTTTGGTGTCAAAACATCTGCAAAACTTTTAATAAATTTTCTAGTCATGGTTGAAAGGAGTTAGGATGTAAGGTATCTCAGAAAGACATTAATAGGGAGAATTAAAATGTGCTAAATTATTTTTGTATGCTTTAATAAAATTTATGTGATTGGGAATAATAAATCTTTCAACACAGAATTTAGAAGTCAGGCTCTGAGAAAAAAATTCTGGCTTCTTGGCCACACTGCTGAAACCTGCCAACTTCAATTTAAAACTAGTCTGCTGCATGTAATCATTGGTTGAGATGTACCATTGTACTGAATGCTTTTTACACCAGTAATCTTTATACTTGTGAAGTTGCTTCAATACAGCTATTCTAGTGCAAAATTCTAGTGTAAGTGTACTATATTGCTATCAAGTTAGTTCAGCATCAGCCTGCAAATGACTGTAGAAGTAGCAACACTGGTGTAGCTACACAATGAAAATTCCTTGCATATACAAGTATCATTGTTCTGCGTGGTGTATGAGAACCCTAATGGGGCCACTGGTATTTTATACAGCACTCTGCATGTGGAGTACTTTGAAGTACATGCCCCAGAATATGAGGCTGGATTAAATGGGCTTTGTTCTCACTGAAGGAGGCTATGTGATATTCTTTTTTCACCAGATAAGTAAGTTGATAACAGGGATAACACTCAGCAGGAGAGTTGAAATCTCAACTCAAGAGAGTTGAGATGCTCATCAATTTCTTACGTCCCTGCCAGATTCCCACAGGAGAAACACTGGAGCAGTTTGTGTGTTCTGCTCTGTCCAGTGTGGCAGAAGATGAAGCAAACAAAGAGAATAATGAAGAGGGCTGTATTTCTGCATGGCATGAGGCCAAACTGTATCTTGTTCATGCTGTCAGCAAGCTCAGACTCTATGCACAGGTACGCTGTAATAAGTTAATAGATTAAATTCCTAATTTTTGCATGTAGGCTGTCAACAGTAACTCGGGTAAAAGATCTGAGTTAGCTATTAAATGTTATGGTCATGAACTTTTTTCATCTTGCTAAGAAGACAAAGTAATCCTTATAAAGCATCATTACAGTAGAATTATAATCTATCACCATGTGTCCACTTAATCAGATTTTCTCATTAACTCAAATACAGATTTGAAATCTAATAGGGAATGTAGTGAAATATACTGCACTGCAGAGGCCTGACAGTAGGAAGACCCATTTACTGTCCCACCTGAGCCTGAATTTTGGGCAAAACTGAAAGCAGACTACAGGACTCCACTGATATAGTATCTAATTCATTTATTTTTAATTCCCCTCTACTATCTCTAGCAATAGTGGCTGAAGCATGTTGAAGAGGATGAGAGTAAATCTCCAGTATAGCATCTTAAAATTATGCTCTCACAGAACATCTTGGCATGCAGTCTCTACGATGACATATATGTAGTTGTGTGGAGAAAAGGAAAAACCATTCAGATGTTTCCGAGGGAAAACACTTACCTAGCTGCCTCAATGCTGGTGTTTGTTTTCCCACTGAAATATGTTTTTTTCCCCCATTAAAAAATATCAGCTGTGTATCAAGCTGCTCTGGAGATGTTTGCAATATCATCTAAAGAAAACAAGTACAGCTTATCGTATATTTCCTCAAAAATGTAGCCTTTGATTTCTCTCTTGATAAAGGTTTCACTGATGTATGATGACTTGAAGTAATAATTTAATGTGATTGCCAAAACTAATGCACTAATTCCTATTGTAGCCGTAGGAAAATCCAGTAATAATTTCAGCCATGATTCTAAAACTCTTCTCAAGAGCTGACGTCCTTATGATGGCAACTTGAAGTACTGTAAGCTGCTGGCCACTGAGAATTCCCTTGGTGAACAGGGCATCTTTTATAGTACAAATCTGTTTTAACCACTTGGCATTAAAAAAACGTAATGGTGGAGGAAAGGAGAGCAGTCAGTAGCTTTCGCCAGGCCTTGACATGCCTTATTCTAGGCTACACAATAGGAGCATGCAGGCTCCTTCTCCATCTCTTTGTGTAATGGGACCCCAAAAACGTTGAGGCTGCTGCCTTCCATCGAGTCGGTAGTGTAGGCAGAACTGTAAGGGAAAGCAAGCCTGAGTTATTGACCGTGGAGGTCTGCTTTTGGTTGGTTCCAGTCTCAGGCTATCTTTTCACCATTCCTGCGTCTTTGGGCAAGGACAGCACCGCATATGATGTTAGTTCTCTGTATGATGTAGCATGTTATATTGCCAACTTGCAGGTCAGTACAAACTGCATTGAAAATCAACCTTTGTGATGCCAGTCATTTCAGAGTCTAGACACATTGTTAGGGAGAAATTTTACTATTGTTGTTAATTGTGGGGTTTTTTTAAAGACATGCAAATTCTGTGTCGTGTCTAAATAAGAAAGCTTTGATTCTCTAACAAGGTGTGTTCTGTTTTTCATTCAATCTGCTAGGTATTTGAGCAATGGCTCAGCAGAAGCCCCGCTCAGAAACTCCTTTTGGAACTTGAAAGAATCATAGCTGATTTAATGTCTCAGTTTCTAGATGACAGGGAAGCCAGGAAACTTTTCTCAGAGATAAATACCCTGATCCAGCAATGGAATGAGAAATCAGATGCCTACTTTTCAGAAGGATATACTGCATCTCATAATCTGTAAGTTATCTTTCTGCAACTTGTCTTAAAGATCAACTTGAATATTTATCTTCACATTACATTTAGCTGATTTATGATTTTTGTTTTGTGTTTTTATTTTTTATTCTGTAATTCAAAATGTCATATACAGGCAAATAATTGTGCCAATGCATACACATTCTGAAAAAGAAATTTAATCTGTGATTCAGAGTGTACGTACTTACAGGTTCAGCAAAGGACCCGAGTACATGATCAGGACTCATAGGAATCAGCAGCTGTGTATAATCAAGCATTTTGAACTAGGACCTAAATTATTCTTCTTCTGTAAACAAAGTCTAATTCCCACAAATAGTTGCTGTGACTCAGTAATGCTTCGTATGGATGTATGCTGTAGGATCAATCTGCTCATGTACAGCAAGTCCAGTGTATGTGAAATGTTTTGGATTTTTGTTGTAGCAGTCATGTTAGTTTGTGCAGGAGATCTTGGAACAGAATCCTACTATGGAGAACAGAATTACAATGTAATGCTATTTGTTTATATATATATATCTGTAGTTTCCAATCTTATCTAGGGCACTCTGAGGCTAACATTTCTTTTAATGTTTTTGAACTTTCACGTTCCCCATTTGGCTTATCACTTAATGGAAATGTAACCAGTTTATATGAAGGTATGGCTATAAGGTCTGTACTTATTCAGAATTATTTGTTTTGTTGAAGCAGTCCAAATCTTCCTGTACAGTAGAATTATTCTTTTAGCAGTTGGTCACTAATCTAGTAGAAATCTATTTTGTTGCAACTTTGGAAATGCCTTCAATTCTCATTTCAGGACAAGTGCAACTACAAGCTTCTAAAGAGTGACTGTGCTTTAATTTCAGGTATTCTGATTGACAACATGTGTTTTAAAATAAAATCAAGACAATTGTTCTGGATGATTTATGCAAAATAAAGTGGTTTAAGAGCTCTGTTTCCCTATTAAAAAAAAAAAAGACCTTATAAATGATTTGGAAAGTTCTACACAGGACTTAAAAGTTGTAGATACAGGGAGTTAATGTTTGTCAGAGTTGGCAGAGCCTCATGAAAAGTCTATGGCAGAGTACAGGAACTGATACTTCTCTCTTTCTAACTGCACATTGGATGACTTGCATCGCTTCTGGGAGTTATAATGTTGGCCTCAGTTAGGCATTGCTTGTAACAGCTCTACTTGTTCATATCAAAAACTGTCCTTCATTGGAGGAGGTATGATCCATGCTATACAAATCAACATCTGAGGATAAATCTGAAAGATACAAAGTGCTCTAATGCAGCACACCCCCAAGTGGGAAGTGATCAGGAAATGTCTTTGGTTCTGGATTTGTTGCTGTTTTAATTAACTTATAAAATGGACACAGGCTTCTTTCCATTTCCAAACAAATCTGTTTGAACAGGGACACAAAAAAATGAAAAAAATGTTTCCTAAGTAAATGAACTGATGTGGGATTATAAAAACAGGCGTATAACTCCCTTGCTTAACCTAACAGTCACTGGTGGAATAGCAGCCACTACCTCCTTTTCCCACCTTTGAGTGTTCAGAAGCATTTTTTTTAGTGCAGTAAGTGGCTTGATAGAAAATGAAGTCTTTCATGGGAAACTTCTTTTTTTTTTTTTTTTTTTTTTTGCTGCAAGAGAGAGGAAAGGAGATGATTTTGTGTGTAGATCTTCCCTAACATTAATGGTTTTGGCCTTCAGGTAAATTAGTCTGAAAAGAAGTAGACTTGTCCATGAAAACAAGTTGTACTTCTCACCTGGGAAACTGATCAGTGAATGCTGAGAGTCAGAAGGGTTCTTTTGTTTTGTTTTTGCTGTTGTTTCCTTAGTTTGCCAAGGTTTTTATAAAATCCATTATCTACCGTTAAGAGAGAGACTGTAGTCAAATTGTTCAATAATTTGGTAGTACATTTTGGAATTTCATTCTTTTTTTATAAAAGGAAACTGCTATACTGCTGCTGTTGTAAGAAACTACGAAGTACATGATACAGTGACTGCACAACAAAAAAAATCCCATAATTTTTCAGCAACTTTACCTTTTTGTTTGTAGTACACAATGTTTCTGTGCTCTACCTCTTTTGATTGCAGAATCCTGCATCTGGAGAAAATGCAGTCTGCACTGCAGGATGTACCTCAGTGGCCTGTTACGAAGAGATTGCTTCTGGTAGATGGAGCTATAAGGAATGTAATAGCACAGTATTTATACTTCACTGAAGGTAAAGCTGCATGGTGATTACCCCTTACTAGCATTCACATGACTTCCTAAGAATAACATGGGAAATGGATAACATTCTACCTTTAGGAAGGCATTTGGGCTCTGTAATACATGTCACACTCAGATACTTACAGCAGCTTTCGAATTCCTAAAATTCTGTTTCCCTTAGTGATGATAGGACACAACATAATACCTGTTTTCACTTCATATCAGGAATAAACAATTTCCTTAGGCATTTTATATGATGTTGTATGCTGCTGTGGCTGTTGTTTAAAGATCTAACTCAAGAAATAAAGCCTGCTTAATAAAAATTAAAATATCAATGCCTGAGAAGTTTCTGACACCATCAGTCATGTATGTACAAACAAGAAGTCTTGGTTTTAGATTTAGATGCAGCTTGACTTTTCTGGCTGGTCATTGCAAGTGAAGCAAAACACTGAGGTGGACATATGGATTTTCAGATCTCTTTAAGTAAGGATTTGACTGAGGGCTGTGAAGCCCAGAGGCCGGGTGCTTCTTTCTCTGGGGGCTGTGCTTTTGGACACAAAGCTAGGCTGATGGTGAAGGAAGTGGAAGATGCCATTCTCAGAAGAGAAGGGACAGTGTGGAAGAACTCAGGACAAGTGGAGGTGTATTTTACAAGAAGTTGGGGAACTGGATCTGTTTTCGGCAGTTTGACTGAATAAGATGAACTAGCTCCTATGGAGTTCTTGTAAATATGTCTGCTCAGCAATTGTGACTTTCAGATTTGGAATACATTTATAGTATTATACGGTGTGCTAGGACTCAGATTGTGTGATGTTCAGCACCATGATACCCAGGAGTTGGTCCACAATATAATCATATTATAAGGTCCCCACAGATTTGGATTAAAAAAAAAAAAAAGGGAAAAGGAAAAGGGACAAGATAGCTTTCTGTGAAACCTTTTAGTGGAGACCTGCAATACTATAATGAGGGTATATATAGGAAGAACACTTGTATTACTCTGTTGTTATCAGGTATGTGAAAAACACTTTGATCCTTTTGGGGACATTGATAGTCTTAAATTACCTGATATTTCCATATGACTTTACAGTAAAGAATAAACAATATATTAACAGTACAAATTTTGTCCAAGATGCCACTGAAATTGTGCGATTTTGACCTTGATTTCTAGCTCAGATGTCTTCAGATTATGAATAAAAACCTCTTGTTTGAAGATCACTGTTAGAAATTAACACAGACTCTGACACAAGTTCTGTGTATTTTAGTACTGTGCATCATTACTAGCAGTAAAGGTCATACAGGTCACATTACAGCATCAGTAATAACAGCAAAGCCCACTTTCCTTGGGTTATATTGTATGACACATTTATGCTTCTTGCCTTTAATGGCTTTATAGCTGATTACTCTGGGAATTTAGCGAGCAGTTCTCTTGTTGATACACAAAAAAAAGGAGACATAATCCAACATACCCTTTAGCTGTATCAGCTAACTGAACTAAACTGTAAAATCTGTTTTAGCCTCTAAAAATGAGCAAGGACTGAGTGCTTAGCAGGGAGCAGATCTCATGAGAAAACAAGTACTCTTTCAACATAATTTTCCGAAGGTGCATTTTTAGGACATTTAATATGAAGTTTGCTGATTGTTTATCTTCTGGGTTCTTAAGGTCATTGGACCAAAAGGTGTCATTTTTGTCTTGTGGGTTTTGTTTTGTAGCATGTGGCCACATGGAATCAGTACTGCTAGTCGTATTGAGGAATCCTGATTTACTTGTGCACCCAAACCTGCAAGACACCTCTGAAACTTCAGGATAGTTTCTGTAGTCTTCTTTTTAGGATGGGTTGATTTGAAGTATACTACACAATTTTGCCTGTATACTGTATATCAGTATACCTTCCTTCATGACGGTGGAGTTACACTGATTTACTACAGCTGGGCATCTGCCCTCTCAGCTTATGTGGTAAAACGTTGATCTCCATCCACACAAAGGAGTATAGAGGAACAGTGGCAAGTGGGAGAACCCAAATAGTACTCTGTCCTGGATCCTTCAAGGCTGGGTCACCTTACAGACTGAGGGGGTTACTGCCTAGGGATATGGGACTC